GTAATAATAAAAATGTTCAAAGACATCCAAAAACAATTTGGGCACCCAAACCAAGAGTGGCTTAATTATGTTAGAATATATAGTCTAATTAACAAACAGGATATTAAAGAACATCCAGAATTTAAAGACTTTTTAAATAATCATTATAAATATAAACTAATTACTAAAACTGTTTTTAATTAAGAACATACAGGTTACAGATAAACCTAAATTTATAATCAAACGGGAAAGAGACATAAATAAAACTTTTCCATTGGATAAATGGAGAGACAAATTTGTTAGAATCAAATAACTCTTTTTTTTTTTTTTAATTGCCCACGGATGGTATATCACTCCACATAGAATTAGAAAGTTAAAAAAGTCACTCAGAAAAATGTTGGAGATGATCCAAGGAAGATGGTACACTTTACCACATGTGGTGGAAATGCGAGGCTCTATCAAAAATAAAAAGGCAGATTTCTAACTTTTCATACAGTTAGGTATACACCAGACATTACCTCACACGTTCTTATTCCACTTAGACTTTCCATATTGTAACCTTGAACAAAAAACATTACTTATCCATATTATAATGGCAACTGAACTTATAACAGCCAGAAACTGGAAAGTTCCAACAGCAGAATCATGGATAGAAAGAAATAACCAGATTAATTATCAAAAGCAGATGGAAGAAGCATTTTATAGAAATTCAGGTAGGATCTCATTATATAAGAAAATATGGGAAAATGGAATAATATTTCTTAAGGAATCAACAGAAACATACCCCGAGTAATAGTAACTCTAAAAGTAGAAAGAAAATTTAGAAGCTGGCTCTAAATGAATAAATATAAATCATTACAGCCAGTAAGTCCCTACGAGCAGCTCCCATGATACAATATATAAAATGTATTATTTTTATATAAAAGCAACTTGGGAAATAAGCAATCCACAGCCCCCCTACTATATGTTTTTAGAATGAATGCACAAAACGCATCTATTTAATGTCGTCAATGTTTTATAAGTATGTCTTTATAAAGTAAAATCAATGTCAAAGATATATTTTTCAAAATGTTAAATGAAAAATGTTCTAATAAAGATTAAATATAAAAACCAAACAAACAAAAAAACAACAAAACTTTGCAGTGTCATGTGGTTTCACATTACCGATGTTATTTTGCTTAGCCTTTTCCCTATCGCTCTCTATAATACCTGTGATTAATTTTTGGGGTTATCTCATTTGATTTAAATATATTGTACCTGTGTTTAGACAAGCCATGCACGGGGCAATCCCTTTTTATTGCTATTATACCCCTACCTCCTCTAGAGTGTAAACTCTTAAGCAGGGTCCTCATCAACCTGTTCTTCCTATAACAGGTTGTAATTGTCTCATTTATTGTTAAATTTGCCCCTTTATAATATTGCTGAGGAATAAATTGGTGCTATATAAATGTCAATAAATAATAACTGCTGATTTTATGGCAAAATAACCATAATTGCTAAATAGTTTGATTACCCTTGTAATTCAACTCTTTTGAGTAATAATTCTCAATTTATCATATTTCCTGGGCTAGTAAATTACATCTGAAATATATTCTGGGGCCTTTGATTTCATATTTTATATATCTTAACTTTATGTTCACATTAAACATATAAAGTAATACAGATACACTCAAAAATGAACGCGTGAAAGTAAATGTACAGAAAAAAAAACATACATAGTAAATAAATGTTATACAATGGATTTTGGTTTAAATATATATATTAAGTATAACATATCAATTTTTATTCCCACAAAATGTACTGATTGTATACATAGTATATTAAAATATAATATGTATATAGAAGATTTACAGCCTGGCCCATATCCCTTCTAGTAGAAAACCCTTGCTGCTTAATTTAAAAGGATATACA